TCCCTCCTCCCTCCTCCCCTTCCCTCCTCCCCCTCCTCCTCCCCCTCCTCCTCCTCCTCCTCCTCGCACTTTCCTGGGCGGGGTGGGCCATCGAGCCCTCGTCGGCGAGGAGTGCGCGATCGGGGGGCAGGCGCACCCCCCCGAGCGCTGCCCCCTTGCCCATGCCGCTCCAGTCTGCGCCCGGCGTGCCCTCCAAGAGAGCCGACGTCGCGGAAAAAGGGAGACACCGTGGCAAATCGCGACGGCAGCCCTAGACTTACGTCGCGACGGGCCTGTCCCCCTACAGGGGGAACGCTCACACATAGTCAAAACAATCAGGGGACGATTTTTTGAATAAGTTTGGCTATGTTTGGATATTTGTGGGGTATACTTTAATCTTTCCTCCAAAATCCGCCTGTAAGGGGGACACGCCCGACTTAACCCTAGACCGCCTCTTCCTGTGCCGTGGTTCGGGCTGGATCCATCTGCGAGGGTGCCGTCGCCCGAAACCGGGCGAGAACGCCTGGCTCGAGACAGTTGAGTCGCCAGGATCTCAGGGTTACAGTAGGGGCTGGACCACAAGAAACCTTCCACAAGAAACCCAACCCTGAGACCCTAGGGCGTCCATTGCTTTTTGGGGTGGGGACGTCACGCTTTCCAGAGCAAAACCATCGAAACCCAAGAAACCCAGGGCACCCTGGAGGCAAGCAGGGCGCTTCTTGGCATGGGCCCCGGCTGTATCCGCGACGAGAGGAGCTGCATACGCAGCTCTCGGGCCATGATCTCTGGCTCCCGGCGGCCGCCGCTGGGCGCACGCTGCGGGCACCCCCGGGACACCTCTCGGTCGAGAATAGGGCGCCTCTGCGGCAGCGGCGCCTCGCCGGCGGGACGCCGCCGCCGGAGAGCGCCCAGGGAGGCCAGAGGGCCGCCGATAGGCGGCAACGCCCGGAAGAGCCTCGCGCCCCACTGCGAAGCGGGGGCTGGTCTCATGTTGCTCCCATCGTACTTAACGACGATTTCCCAGAAATCATTTCGAGCACCCGGAAAAGTGTCGAAAGGGTGTCGAAGCAGTGTCGGGCGAGTGTCTCCCAGGGCCCGACACGGGAAAACCCTCGAGTGTGGGGTGCTTCTCTGGCGCTCGAAATTCTTCCTGGCGATCGAGGCTCAAGTAGGCTGGAACATCATAAGGCCGGTCCAGAAGCACCGCCAGCGGATCGACCTTCGGGGGCCTCGGCAGGCGGCGCATGTGGATGCACACTTAGTGGAGGAGGAGGAGGAGGAGCGAGGAGGAGGAGGAGGAGGAGGAGGAGGAGGAGGGCGGAGGAGGAGGCGGAGGAGGAGGAGGAGGAGGAGATTTCCCCCACCCCCCCCCCCCCCCCCTCCGCGGGGCCCGAGTAGGTCCCTGTGGCCACGGCCTGCCGAGGCCCCGGAAGATCGATCCCGCAGGCGGTGGGTACGGGTAAAGCACCGCCTCGGACTCACGAGCCTGATTATCATGAAGTCGGGCGTGTTTTCCTGCAGGGGGATTTTCGGCGAAAAATGGGAAATACAAAAAAAAAATGCCACCAAATGGCCAAGAAGTGCTCAAAACATAGTCGCCAGACCCATTTGTAACTATTTTTGAAGATTCCCTCTGTAAAGGGACAGGCCCGACTGAAGCCTATTGTCTCCCTCAAACGGTCGGGATCTTTTGTTCAGCGCGCCGCGGTGGCGGCCCCGGCGACACGCTGTGCCCTGCGGGCGGAAAACGTTCTCCGCCCGCAGGGCACAGCGTCGTCGTCGCTGCAGAAAAATAGAAACGATGGGCTTCTCGCCCGCGCCAGGGCGCGATCGCATCTAAACGCATCTGTTATCTTTGGATACGTCTTGCAGGGACGTGTCACGGCGCTCCGCGGGGCGGGAGGCGGGGAGAGGCTCGGGGCGCTGATGCCCGTGGGCTGGGACGCGGCCATCGGAGCCGGGGGGCGGCAGCTCGGCCTCGGTCCCGAGACCCTCCTCCTCCTCCTCCTCCTCCTCCTCCTCCTCCTCCTCCTCCTCCGCCCTCCCTCCTCCCTCCTCCTCCTCTCCTCTCCTCCTCCTCCTCCTCCCTCCTCCTCCTCTCCTCCTCCTCCCTCCTCCTCCCTCCTCCCTCCTCCTCCTCCTCCTCCTCTCCTCCCTCCTCCTCCCTCCGCCCTTCTCCTCCTCCTCCTCCTCCTCCTCCTCCTCCTCCTCCTCCTCCTCCTCCTCCTCCCGCGCCTCGGCATCGGTCCCGACCCAGACATGCGACGTTCGAATTTTTCAGCACGGCGCCCCTGGAAGTCCCGACCCTTTCCCGGGGAGCGGGTTTTCGTCCCGCGTCGTGTTTTGGCGGCCCCGAGGCCCGGCGAGGGGCCCCCAGGGCCGAAAGTGGGCAAACACCTCCCGTCCTTATTTTTTTGTGCGACGCGGTCGTGCCTGGGGAGACCCCTCCCGCTGCCCGAACGCACGCGTGTTCCGCTCGGCGCCCAGCCGTGGCGACGGCGACCGGCCCCCCGAAGGCCGGCCGCCGCCTCAGCTCGCCCTCCTCGGAGGTGGAGCGTGCTGCGCCGACTGCGTGGTGGGCCCGGGCCGGCGGGGCGCGACCCGCTGAGCTTGTGGATGCCATGACAATGGACACTCCAGCAATCCTATCATTGAATGTAAAATGTATTGAAAATGTAGGAAACATGTTCTGAGCGTGTTTGATACATGTAACGCATGTTTACATGGGCCAGGACCGGCGAGCGCGACCCGCTGAGCAGACAACAGCTCTGACCGCACCGCTGTCCTGTCTCTGGATCCGTCGTACCCGGGGCGCTTCCGCGGGCAGGAGCATCTCCCCGTCGTTCGGACGTCCATTCCCTGTGCTTTTGTTCGGCTTCGTGCGTGACTTTTTCGCAGGATGATCCAGGATGCTCCTTAAGAATCCCCGCCGAGAAAAAAAGCACACGTCCGAGTAATACCAAGACACGCCTTCCCCCCCCCCCCACCCCCCCACCCCTGAACTCTGTGGCGAGCCTCGGGGGGGAAGCGAGGCGGGGCGGGCCTTCTCAGAAGGCTCGGAAGCCCCCCGGCCTTCCGACAAGTTTTTCCTACGCCTTCCCCGAAGACGCCAGAAGCAGCTGTCAGAAGGCCGGGGGCAATCTGCGAAGCCCCTCCGCCTTCTGAGAAGGCCTTCTCCTCCTCGCTTCCCCACGGGCGCGCCACTGAATGTAGTCTTTAGGTCGTAACTCGGCCCTCCGGTGGTCGTTCGGGACGATCCGGGTACCCCCAGAACGCTCTCAGCGAGGCGCAGCCGCTGGAACGCATCCCGCGGGCGGAAAGCCGCCAGGAAACCCAAAACTACGACAGGAAACCACGAAAATGCCCGAAAACCTTCCGAGTTTGCAGACGTTTGTTGGGCATTATGTCGCACCATGGATGCTGGCGATTCCTGGCGGATTCCTTCCTCAGGCTCCCTTACTGCGGATACCTACAAAGGATTCCCGAGTGGGAATTCCCTACAAAAGGATTCCTTATCGGGGAGGCCTACAAAGGATTCTCTATTGGGAATTCCCTACCTACGCAGGATTCATAACTGGGGATGCTCACAAAGGATTCCCTACTGGGAACTCATTCCCTACAAAGGCTACCTTACTGAGGATGCCCTACAAAGGAATCCCAACTAAGGGTTCCCCCAGCTTTTCGCTCCATTTTGGAGCCCCTAGGTCCTTCTGGGCCTCGTGAGGGGTGCTCTGGCCGGCCTTGGCTGTCTCCTTGGAAATCCTGGTGGCACCTTGGGCCAGGGGCACTTCTAGCAACACCCGATCTGGGGTTATGTTGCTCCCGTCGTACTTAAGGACAATCTCTCCCAGAAATAATTTCGAGCGCCCGGAGAAATGTCGAAAAAGTGTCGAAACAATGTCGGACGAGTGTCTCCCAGGGCCCGGCACGCGAAAACCATTGAGCTTCAGCATCTGTTTAGGGGTTCGAAATTCTTTCTCGTGATCAAGGCTAAAGCAGGTTGGAACTGGGGTCGTGCTTTATTCTCGACGATAACGGCTACACGCAAGAGTCGCCCTAGGCAGGAGTACCCTTTCGGTGCGCGACTTGCGGGGGCCGCGTGGAGGCCAAACCCGAGCGCGCCAGACGCTGCTTTCGCATCGCGTTCAGTCATCTGGGTACCCTCTTGTTTTTTGGGCTCGCAGACTCAAATCTGATCTGAAATCTATCCGTCTTGCACCCCACGCGTTGGGAGCGTGGACTCGGCTTTGCTAGCCCTCAGCTCTGAGGCTTGGCCCAAACAGCCTACGGAAAAACAGTGAATGATACGAAATCTGCTTATTGCGTTTCCTGCCTCTCCGCACCAAATGAGTATCGTTTAACCGATCCCCACCCCCAGCGGCGTGGCCTGGGCCCCACTGGCCGATTTACCCCCCTAGGTGGGGGTATAGGCCGTTCCCTTCGGGTTTCGAGAGGTGCATCCCCAACTGGGGTGGTAACTTGGTGGGACTCTCGAAGGGGATGGGGATGTGGGGATTGGTTGAACGATACCGACGCACCAAAGGTCACTCCTACGTGGCGGATCTCGGAAACCAAAAAACGTTCTCATCTCTTGGACGCGTCGTTTTTCCTTCCGCCGAGCTTCCGCCGAGCTTCCGCCGGCGGAGGCGGCCTCGTTTTACTTCCGCCGACCTTCCGCCGCCTTCCGCGGCGGAAGAGATGGCAACTCATTCAACCCTCGAAGGCGAGGCCGTTCTTGGAACGCCCCATCCCCACCCACAGCGGCGTGGCCTGGGCCCCACTGGCCGATTTGCCCCCCTAGGTGGGGGTATAGGTCGTTCCCTTCGGGTTTCGAGGGGTGTATCCCCAACTGGGGTGGTAATCTGGTGGGACTCTCGTAGGAGATGGGGATGGGGATGGGGATTGGTTGAACGATACCGATACACCAGAGGTTACTCCTGCGAAAGGACACTCTTACATGGCGGATCTCGGAAGCCAAAACACGTTCTCATCTCTTGGACGCGTCATTTTTACTTCCGCCGCCTTCCGCCGAGCTTCCGCCGGCGGAGGCGGCCTCGTTTTACTTCCGCCGACCTTCCGCCGCCTTCCGCGGCGGAAGAGATGGCAACTCATTCAACCCTCGAAGGCGAGGCCGTTCTTGGAACGCCCCATCCCCACCCACAGCGGCGTGGCCTGGGCCCCACTGGCCGATTTGCCCCCCTAGGTGGGGGTATAGGTCGTTCCCTTCGGGTTTCGAGGGGTGTATCCCCAACTGGGGTGGTAATTTGGTGGGACTCTCGAAGGGGATGGGGATGGGGATGGGGATTGGTTAAACGATACCGACGCACCAAAGGTCACTCCTACGTGGCGGATCTCGGACAACAAAAAACGTTCTCATCCATTGGACGCGTCATTTTTTGCCGCCTTCCGCGGCGGAAGAGATGGCAACTCATCCAACCCTCGAAGGCGAGGCCGTTGTTTTTGGAACGCCCCACGTGGAGCCGAGACTTGGGTCGGGCCTGTCCCCCAACAGGGGGATTTTGGACGAAAAGCTAACAATACTCAAAAATTAATCAAAAGATGCCCAAACATACTCAAAACATAGTCCCCAGACTATTTTTTGCATATTTCCCAACCGTCCTGTGGTGTTGGGCCCTCGTTTTGAAGAGACAGCGCCCCGCGTTCACTCCTCCTCCTCGCCCCTCCTCCCCATCATCATCATCATCATCATCATCATCATCATCATCATCATCATCATCATCATCATCATCATCATCATCATCATCATCATCATCATCATCATCATCATCATCATCATCATCATCATCAGCATCAGCATCAGCATCATCATCATCATCATCATCATGATCATCATCATCATCATCATCATCATCATCATCATCATCATCATCATCATCATCGCCATCACCATCACCATCACCATCACCATCACCATCACCATCACCATCACCATCGACGTCATCATCACCATCCTCATCATCATAATCATCATCATCGCCATCACCATCATGATTGTCATCATCACCCCTTTCGGTATACCCCTCACACGTTTCGTGGCCCCATAGGGAGCTCAACCGAAGGCCCCAGTGGGGGCGCCCGTATGCGTCCGCCACACCCAGCACAGCGTTTCGTGGCCCCATAGGGAGCTCCACCGAAGGCCGCAGTGGGGGGGCCCGCATGCGTCCGCCACACCCAGCACGGCGTTTCGTGGCCCCATGGGGAGCTCCACCCCACCGAAGGCCCCAGTGGGGGTGCCCGCATGCGTCCGCCACACCCCTCACAGCGTTTCGTGGCGCCAGTTGGAGCTCCACCGAAGGTCCCAGTGGGGGTGCCCGCATGCGTCCGCCACACCCCGCACAGCGTTTCGTGGCCGCATAGGGGCTCCACCGAAGGCCCCAATGGGGGTGCCCGCACGCGTCCGCCACACCCATTACGGCGCGCCCCTCACGCGTGTCGTGTCCCACCGATAACGGCACCCACAATGCGTTACTCACAACTGAATATGGTTGGGTCCTTCGCCAGGATAATTTTGAATATCCCCCCTGTAGAGGGACAGGCCCGACTTAAGCCGAGACGAGGCTCCGGCCTGCGCCCGAGGGCGTCCCGGGCTGCCGGCGCGCCGGCGCGCGCGCTCCGGCGGGAGCTCGCGGGCGCGGAGTCCGCGGAGCCCGCGGGCGCAGCGTGCGGGCCGTCGCGGTCCTCGGCGCGGGCTGCCAGCGGCGGCGTGGGAGGGGCAGAAGCGAGAAGGAGGAGACTGGCCATCGCTCGGACGTCCACTCCCTGTGCTTTTGTCGGTTTCGTGCGTGGTTTTTTCGCCAAGTGATAAAGGATGCTCTTCGATGGTCCCCGCCGAAGGAAAAATGCACACGTCCGAGCGATGCCAAGGAGAAGGTTTTCGGGCGTTCTCGTGGCTTCCTGTCGTAGTTTCGGGCTCGAGGTTTGCGGGCATGTTCGTGGCTTCCGGGCGGCTTTCCGCCCTTGGGATGCGTTCCAGCGGCTGCGCCTCGCTCAGAGCGTTCCGGGGAGTCCCCGGATCGTCCGGAACGGCTACCGGAGAGCCGAGTTACGACCCAAAAACCAAATACAGTGGCGCGTGCGGGGGGAAGTGAGGAGGAGAAGGCCTTCTCAGAAGGCGGCGGGGCTTCTGAGAAGCCCCCTGGCCTTCTGATAAGTTTTCCACGTCTTCGGAGAAGGCTTAGAACAAACTGTTCAGAAGGCCGGGGGGCTTCCGAGCCGTCTGAGAAGGCCCACCCTTCTTGCTTCCTCCCTGGGCTCGCCGCCGACTCTGGGAAGCTGGAATCACACGTGGCCGGATTCACGTGTGAGCGACGATCAAAAACGGGTCTTGCGCGATATTATAGGGGGCAAAAATCCACCCCCATAAGAACCACCCCGACAAGGGAGGCCGTTTACGAAACGCCCCCACTGAAAGAACCGAACAGGGCAGGGCTGTTTAGTGAGCGCCCAGGGCCGTTTGGTGAGCGCCAGTTGTCCAGTCCGGGTGGCTTATCCTCCCTCGAGAGATGACGCAGAAGCCTTCCTCACGCCGCGGCTTGCGCGGGCCGCCAGCGCGGGAGACGAGGGCGCCCACGAGCGCGCGGGCAGCTTATGGGGAGACCAACGTGTACCGACACCGCTACTCCCCGGACCTCTCCCGGAGTGCGTTCTGACCAGGATTTCGAGGCGAATCCAACGGTGGCGACGAGGGCCTCCGAGGAGGCCCGAACAGGGGAAAACAAGGGGAGGTTAGAGGTATGGGTACCTTTTCCTCCTTCTGAGCTTACGCGCGAATGTTGGCGCAGTCGAGCCCGCTTTCTAGCGTCGCCCACGTGGAACATGTGGAGGCCACTCGCTGGATATGCACACGCGGAGTTTCCGCGGGGGCACTTCCACTGAAGGGCCAAGCGATGGAAGGACGTCTGGACATACAGCCGAAAATAGGACCAATAAAGTTATCATGTAAGACATCAGGGCCAGCGTTCCAGGAGTTTCTTACAACAAGCCTGGGCCAGTTTCTGTCATTAGCACTGGAGGGGGCGAACGTGATCAAGAAACTCGGCCAGTTTTCTGGCAAGTTGGCTAAGAAACCCTGGCCCAGCTTCTCAGGAGGAGGTTTCTTAACGAGATGATCGACTGTCGGAGGTTGGGGGGTGAGATCGAAGTGGAACGGATAGCTCCCCTACCGGGAAATCGATTTCGGTTTCGTGTTCGTGCGTGCCGTGCGGGCGAGGCGAAGCTGCGTGGGCGGGCGAAAGAAAGTCTCCTGTGGCTGAGGCGCGGCCGGAGCAAAAGAACCTTGACCGGGCGGCCGGTGCCCCGCGGTGTCCCGCCGGTGTCCCGCTGGTGTCCCGTGTGGCTGAGGCGCGGCTGGGGCAAAAGAACGTTGGCGCGGTGTCCCGCCGGTGTCCCGCTGGTGTCCCTTCGGTGTCCCGTCGGTGTCCCGATGATGACGTGGATGACTATGATGATGATGATGATGATGATGATGATGATGATGATGATGATGATGATGATGATGATGATGATGATGATGATGATGATGATGGTAATGATGATGATGATGATGTGATGATGATGATGATGATGATGTTGATGATGGCGATGATGACGATGATGATGATGATGATGATGATGGTGATGTTGATGATGATGATGATGATGATGATGATGATGATGTTGGTGTCGTTGTTGATGATGATGATGATGATGATGATGATGATGATGATGATGATGACGTCGATTGTGAGATCGATTGTGATATCGATAGTGAGACCGAATGTGAGATCGCAACGCAAGCGGCAACGCAACTATCTCCACTGGCATTGTCACTACAACATTCACCACAGTTGCCCATTGCTGGGCCCCCCCCCAACCTCCTTATCACCCGCAGGGTGGTCGTATAGGTATGTATCCAGGTCATGCCCAGGCTACGTGCCCACCCTGACTCCGCATCCCCCGAGTACGGGACGCAGAAGGACATATTAGTGCTATGTGTCCTCCTCGGAGGCGTGCGTCCGACCCGAACATCTGGTACAACCGTCTTCCAATATATCGTTTCCCGAGCGGAGCGGCCGGAGAGCGCCCGCCACTGAGCTTAAACTGTCAGACTTCTCGGCGCGCGCGTCGCCCATTCGAGGGGGACGCACTTGTAGTATTAGCACGTCCGGGTGGCGCTGATAAACCCTCCCCGACTCCAGATGCCCCGAGTAGTCCAGAGCGGTCTCAACGCATCTCAACGCCCCAACCTTCGGGCGCGGAGCGCCCCAGGGGTGCAGTCGAAGGCGGCGTGGTGACGAGACCTCCCAGGACTGCTCGGGGGGCCTGCAGGGCCCAGACATCCGGCCGCTCCGATCTTGCCGCCGCGTGGGCCCCGGAGGTCTGGACCACTTCCCTGGAGGTCCGTTTTTTTCGTCCCGAGCCGCTCTTGGACGGTCCCGAGGCACCAGCGAGGGCCCCCGGAGGCCGAAGACCGCCGAACACCGCCCGCTCCAACTTCCCTGGAGCGTCGGATCTCTGGGGAGGCCAGCGGGGACTCCCGGTGGGGGGGGCTGCCGGCGTGCAGCCCGAAGCGTGGACCCTCGGAACCCCGCGCTGCCCTGGCTGCTCAAGCATCCGCCGCGTGCCCCATCCCTCCCGACGCGTTCCCCGGGGGTCGTTTTTCGACCGCGCAGGCGGGCCGACTTTCCACCACCACTGCCATAGATAGGAGGAGGGGGAGGAAGAGGAGGAGGAGGAGGAGGAGGAGGAGGAGGAGGAGGAGGAGGCAGAAGGACGGATAAGGAGGGGGTGAGGGGGAGGGAGGAGGAGGAGGAGGAGGAGGAGGAGGAGGAGGAGGAGGAGGAGGGAGGAGGAGGAGAGGAGAGGAGGAGAGGAGGAGGAGGAGAGGGGGAGGAGGAGGAGGGAGGAGGAGGAGGAGGAGGAGGAGGAGGAGGAGGAGGAGGAGGAGAAGAAGGAGAGAGAGAGAGAGAGAGAAAGAGGGCTGTGGAGGAGAAGGAGGGAGACTCAGGATGAAAAGCTGGCCGTGGAGGTAGGGTCGGGACTTTCTGGGACCCAGTTCCAGACACCACCACTCTGATTAAACTCGTTTAGGCATGCCCCAAACGACCATACCCAAAACGACCACTCTAAGCTCGTTTACGCATGCTCAGGAGGCCCAGCGACCCCGCACGCCCGCCTTACGCATGCAGGCCAAAATTGACCTCCCGAAGTCTCAAAATCCGCCACCGTGCCGCTGGGCACTGAGTGGGCATGTCCTCAGGTCCCTTCCTAATCCCCTGAGCCTCTGTCTTCAGTTCTGAGGAAGCAATTCGGGGCCTGGACCCAAATTTCCAAAATCTCTTGTGGCTCCCCCGCCTCTTGTCGCGTGACTTTTTTGGACCCAAGAGGGCCCCAAGGCGGACCAAGAAGGCCCCACGAGGCCCCCAAGACGGTCCCAGAGGGCCGCAGGTCGCCGAAAGATCTTTCCACGACGTCCAAGATGGCCCAAAGATGTCCCAAGAGGCCTCCGAGACGCCCCAAGAAGCCCCCAAGAGGCCTCCCAAGAGGACCCCAAGAGGCACAAATCATTGGTTTCCTTCGGTTTTGAAGGATTTGGGCGCTCTCGCCGTTTCGGCTTTCCAACGCTCCAAAACGGCCCAAGAGGCCTCCAAGACCCCAAAACGGCCCAAGAGGCCTCCAAGAGGACCCCTAAGACGGCCTAAAAGTACCCTAAGACGTTCCAAGAGGCGCCTAAGACGCCCAAGAGGGCCCCAAGACGGCCCCAAAAGGGGCCAGGGGCCCAAGAGAGGGAACAGGAACCGACAATCCGAGCCTTCTGTCCCACGAGGCCCCACGAAGCCCTCAAGAGGCCCCCAAGAAGCCCAAAGAGGCTCCTAATAAGAGGCCCAGAAGATGCCCCAAGAGGCCCCAAAACGGCCCCGAGGAGGCCTCCAAAATGCCTTCAAGAGGCCCCCGAGAGGCCTCCCACGAGATCCCAACGAACATCCAATATGCTCCCTTAACACAACCCAAGCATGGTGGCGGGATGGGCCGATAACCATCAGATAATCAAACGAACCCCAACCCAGACCTCCGGCGTCTTTTCAACATTAAAGCGGGATTGCGCCATTGTCGGCCTCTGGGGGCCCTCACCGGGCCCCAAGACCTTCAGAAACCGACAGGTCTTTGAAGGGCTGGCTTTTCACCAGGATGAAAAGCAAGCCCCGGAAACAGGGTCGGGGCTTCCGGGGACCCCGCACTGGATGCATCGATACATCGGATCTCTGGGCACCATGCTTTGCTGCGGGCCCGTGCGCGCCGAGGGGTGCCCTGGTCGGAGCGTATCGTTGTCTGGGGATCGTTGTCTGAATCCGCCGACGTCCGCTTCTCAGGGCTGTAGAGTCGCGCGAGATGATCGGCCGCCCCCAGGCCGAGCGTACAGTGGCCCAACATGACTGCACATGTGGGCACAACATTGCGTCCCATGACTCGCCCTGGCACTTTCCACGGGCTCCTCGCTTCGTCTGGGGGTCGGCGGAATGGCGTAAGCCTCCTGAGTCATTCAAGAGCCATGGTAAGTCAATGATTGGTTCTTCTTTCGGCGCTCTGGAGGCGCCTCTTTTGGACTTCTAGGGCCTCCAGGGGCACCCCTTGTGGACATCAGATTGGGCAGTCTTGGAGCGATCTTGCGGCGGTCTTGGAGCGTGTTGGAAACCTCTGGCGCCGTCTGGAAGCTGTCGTGAATGCTTTTCGAGCTCTCTTGAGCCGTTTCGGAGCCTCCAAGCTATCTAAAGGGGCCCTGGACCCCTATAGATCGCGAAGATCCCCCAATGAATACGGAACAATTTTCGCGGATGCCCAGTGCGGAACGTATCCCTGCGACCGCCTATCCAAGGGATCGCGCCCGAGTCCGGACCGCGAGGGCGTGGATATGGATGTGGTCACACCACTTGCGAGCGGCGTGGCCGAAAGAAACCTGCTTCGTGTAGCGATCTCCATACCCTCTTCCCAATCTCCCCTTGCGTCCGACCCGCGCAGAAGTGCACCCGCCCAGACATCCTGGCGCCTCGAAAGGATAAAGGATTAGAGCGGCGGCAGGGCTTCTCGCAGTTTTTGGTCTCTGGGGGCCACTTCTGGGCCCCAAGACAATCGCACAAAACGACTCTGGATTTGAAGCTGGCTCTGGGTCCAGGGTCCTTGCTTGGAGGCCTCCCACACGGGGCCAAGGCAGATAGGGTCGGAATCTTGCTTCGCATCGCCGATCCTCTGACACCCCATCCACTCCGGCCCCATGTGGGACGCCTAGATTGAGGACGCCCGTGCGTCCCCGACTTCTTATCTTTTTTCTTCGATTCGCTATTGCTTGGGACGGCCTCCCTGATTACCATGCATGCCCTGCAACAGCACTTTGGCCTCAACGCTCGACCGCATGGTCAGCAATATATCAACCTGCCTTGCCTTGTTGACAATGAACGGGCGAATCTGGCTGCAAATGCTATGCACGTCTTTTTGCGCGTCAATGCGCAGACTGCTTACACTTGTGGACGGGTGTGTGTGTGTGTGTGTGTGTGCAGGGTCGACCGTAGACCGTGCAACACGAGACTCCTCAAGGCTTCCAGGAAAGGAAAGTTTTTCTGGCAGAGGCTGGCCGCGTAATAGTATCGTTCACCCCTTCGCGTGCACGTGAAAGAGCCATCTGAGTCAAAGAAGCCAGCTAGATAAGCCAGAAGCTTGTCGTGAGTAGAGCAAGCAGCCATGAGTCGAATTCTGCACGACTCAGCAGTCGTGCCTGACAGCTCCAGAGCGCGAACGGCATACAAATCTTCTCTGAGCTTTCGTCGCGCATCGTGCACAGACTGACTTAGAGGGCGCCCGCCCCGGGACGCAGAAACAAGTTTTGGCGCTGCAGGAGCAGTTCGGCTTGGCATTTTTTGATGCACAAACCACTGTCGAAAAGCTCTTGGAGGACGGGGAACGCCGACATGCCATATACCCGCCAATGATAGGTTGGACGCCAATTTGCATTCTTCAGTGCGGCCCCATGGTACTCGCGCAGGTCCCTCCAAAGTGATTGTGGAAAACTCTAATGGACAATCTGTTGTCATCCGATATGCTGGCAACGACAGCCACAGCTGGATACGTGTACCCACCTTCAATGCACATCATGACGCTACCGTCACCGTCAAAAAAGCCACCTCGCCAATGAGGATGAACAACCGCCTCACCGCTACTTGACAGAGAACAATCTCGCTGCCATAGGAAACGACCACAAGACCGAATCTTGTATGGAAGCCAACTTCCTCGAAACAAAGTGGCTTCGGAGAACATCGCTTGAGCCTGGGTGACTCAAGGTCCAAAATGGCTTGCACCAAAATGGCTTGAGCCAAAATGGCCACGGGGCGTTCCCGACTTCTTCTCATCGCGGGAACAAAAAAGCCGGCCGGTTTGTGTAATCTTAGGCCCTTCGACTACCCTTACGGGCCCCAGGGCCGTCAACATACGGCTTGGGAAGAAACCGCGGGCCCCAAAAACAAACTACGTTGCATCTGTTGGGGACCTGATGTCCCATCGTGCCACTATCCGTGTCGAATCCGTGTCGAATCCGTGACACACGTCAGACCCGCATCGAATCCACGTCGAATCCGTGTCGAACCCGGGTCAGTGCCAACCCGGGCCAGCCAGGCCTTGCAAGATCCCGCAGGATCCTGCAAGATCCTGCCGGATCCTGCGCCCAAGCCCGGGTCAATGCGCCCCTGGCCCTGCAGGATCCTGCAAGATCCGGCGCCCTGGTTGACCCCCGTTTGCATTGACCCCCGTCTCTTGAGCTCCGAACGCAGCTCAGCGCTGGAGCTCCGGCACCAGCCGTGCCTGGCAGGGGCCACCCTGGGCCCTGGCAGGGTGCCCGCGCCCTCCCGGCCGCGGCCGGGGGGGACCCTGGCTTCGGATCCGCCGTGCTTTTTTTTTTTTTGCGACGGAAGGCTGTGTCGGACATGCACCCCAAACGACGCGAAAAGCCAGGGCGAAAGCTCCGTCCTCAGAAAAGTAGGGCGGATATCAGGCATACGTGTATATATATGTATATATATATACATACATACATACATACATACATACATACATACATACATACATACATACCTACATATATATACATATATTATGATGAGCTCATGGATATAATAGACTGTATATTTATACGTACACGTGTACATATAGTATGTATTCATAGTTCACTGTATGTTCATGTATTCACCAATACATGTACATGCATGCGCACATACACACATACATACATACCCACATACGTACAGACAGCCATGCATGCATGCATACATACATACACACATGCATGCATACATACATATATGCACACACAACCATCCATACATAAATACGCAGACATGCATACTTACACACACACACGTGTACATACATAAACACGCATGGTCATATATACACCTGTGTGTATACATCGACATGTGGACATGTATGCCTATGCAGGTGTACGTGCATGTATGTACATGTAGGTTCATATGTATACATATATATATATGTACAATTGAACACACATATATATGAATATATGTGTGTGGGCGTGTATCCATATATATATATATGTATATACATGTCTATAGAGATGGACATTTGTCTGTACATATACACATAGTTGTTCCACAGAGTTCTGGCGGAAGCAACAGCGACAAAGCTGGGCGGAACCCGACTTCCACGGCGCTTGCAGAGCAGGGCGGGAACGTCCGCCCACGAGGTCGCCCAGAAATAATTCCGAAGTCGGGGGGTGGGTCCATGCATATCCCACCATCGCGCTCGGACGTCCATTCCCTGCGCATGTTTCGACTTCGCACGTGCTCATTTGTCGCAAGCTGGTCCAAGATGCTTCCCGCCGAGGAAGAAACAATACACTTGTCCGAGCGATGCCGACATCCCGAAGCCCACGGTGGCCCCAACCAGCCACGACGGCCACGACGGCGTCGTGTGGGGGGGGGCCATCCCTCTGCGGAGCAGCGCGCGGCGGGTCCTGCCGCCTCCGCCACGCCCAACTGGAGCCGACGCTCGCCACGGAGTCCGCCCTCGACCCTCTTATCTTCGAGTCCTTTCGGCGGCGCGCCCGGGGGAAAGGAGGATACGGAAGCCCGAAATGAAGACGGAAAAAACTGGCACCATGCCCAACAGCAAGTCTAGTCCAAAAGCGACAGCGGCTGCTGTTGGGCAGGCAGCATTTTGTCTTCAATGTACAGCGTCCGCGGCGGCGCGGACAGCGAGTCCTGATCCAAATGAGCAAGAAGTGCTGTTGGGCATTGTACACGTTGTTCCCGTACCCACACCGATCGTCCCGAGAGAAGGGGCGGGCATTCTCAGAAGGCTCGGAAGCTTCCCGGCCTTCTGAGACGTGCCCTGAGCCTACCCCGAAGATGCGACAAAAACTTTTCAGAAGGGCGGAGGGCTTCTGAGAAGCCCCGCCGCCTCCCGAGGAGGCCTTTTCCTTCTCACTCCCCTCCCTCGCTCGCCACCGACCTTGGTCCCCTGCTCGATCCGCCTCGCCGCGCAGAAGATACCAATGCAGGCGATGGCCAGCGCGCCCATGGCGATCACCAGGCCCAACGCCAGCCTGCTGCCGCTGCCGCCGATGGTGTGGACCGTCTCCGAGAGGCTGGCCCTCGCCACCGCAACATGCTGGAGCATGCGCGTGTCCAGGCAGTGCTCCCAAGGCAAGCCAGAGCTCTCGAGGGAATCGATACCCGCTGGTCCCAGCACCCGTGCCGCCATCCAGTGTGCTGGAGGCGAGTGAGCTGCTGCGCGAAAGGTGTGAATGGTGTGCGGAATCGGAGTGCACGGATAAGGAGGGTTTGCTGTGGAATGGGTTTTCTGACTGGATTTTCAAACTCCATCTTGAGCCAGCGTATGGAAGGACGATGTACAAAACAATCATACCACACCCTCACATACCATCTTGCTCATCTTGACTTCCGTTTATGGTGCAGTTCGTTCTCATCGGTACCCCCTGTACAGTTTGCATCTCAAGGTCCTGTACTTCCCAAAGGCCAGTAAGTGGGTTGAGCGAACCAAGATCAGTGGCTCTGAATCGATTTCTGCAATCGAGAGCTCAGTAGCTGCTGTGAATCTCGAGGTCAGGTCGGCCAACCGAACGCACGCGAAAAAATGCTGTTCACGCGACGTCGGTTCCTCTCTAAATGTTTTGATAACACTACTGGGGCTTTAGTCCTGACGCTACGACAGAAGCACGCCTCAGAACTCTCTACACGGGGTAGCAATACTGCCCTGCCGAACGAGGGTTCAGATCTCGAGCAATCTTAGCCAGAGGGTTTCTCCGAAGGGCTTAGGCGACCCGTCCTCCTCCTCCTCCTCGTCCTCCTCCGCCTCCTCCCTCCTCCTCCTCCTCCTCCTCCTCCTCCTCCTCCTCCTCCTCTCCTCCTCCTCGTCCTCCTCCTCCTCCTCCTCTCCTCCTCCTCCATCTCCTCCTCCCCCTCCCCACTCCCCTCCCCCCTCCTCCTCCTCCTCCTCCTCCTCCTCCTCCTCCTCCTCCTTCTCCTCCTCCTCCTCCTCCATCTTCTCCTCCCCCTCCCCACCTCCCCCTCGTCCACCTCCTCCTCCTCCTCCTCCTCCTCCTCCTCCTCCTCCTCCCCCTCCTCCTCGGGTCGCCTACGGCCCCAGGGGAAACCGTGCAAGCCAGACCGAGCCCGAGCTAACTCTGCGCGTCGTCTCCGGCCGTGGCCCGTGGCCTCTCGCCGTGGCCCCTCGCCCTGGCCCGCGGCCTCCGGTCGCTGTCTCTGCTCGTGGCCCGTGGCCTCAGGAGGAGGAGGAGGAGGAGGTGGACGAGGGGGAGGTGGGGAGGGGGAGGAGAAGATGGAGGAGGAGGAGGAGGAGAAGGAGGAGGAGAAGGAGGAGAAGGAGGAGGAGGAGGGAGGAGGCGGAGGAGGATGAGGAGGAGGAGGAGGAGGAAGAGGTCCCCGGCTCGGGCCCCGTGGCCTATGGTCCTGGCCCCCTGCATCGCCGACGTAGAGGCCTCCCAGATTCATGCTGTTCCCATGGTACTGAAGGACCACATCCCAGAAATCATTTAGCGAAATAGCGTCGAACGAGCATCGCCTCCCAGGGCCCAACACGGGAAAACGCTCCAGTTTCGGTGCTTCCTTGGTGCTCGAAATTCTTTCTGGCGGTCAAGGCTAAAGTAGGCTGGAACATCATAATCCTTAATGGGGTCCGAGCAGATGGCGCCGATGCATCGGCGACGCATCGGCGACGTCGGCGTGGGGAGACACGGGCTCCACATCGAGCCGCATCGTCGGCGACCCCGTCTACGCCGACCCCAGCTAGGAGGCCTAGACAACAATTTCACTCATAGAAGACTTGTCGTTTTCAACATGCGGTCCCCGCCTGGGCGCCGTGCACATTCGCCGTAGAGTTTTCCGTCACCTACACGGATGGAGGGGCGGTCGTTGCGAAAATGCGGTTCTTGTCTGAGCGCCGCACAGATTTGACTTAGAATCTTCCAACCGGTGCACGGACGGAAGGCTGGTGATTTGTGAAAATGCGGCTCTCGCCTGAGCACCGCACACATTCGGCAACCAAACTTCCTACAGTTACGCGGAATGAGGGGCGGCAGCTTTCAACATGTGGCAGCCGCCTACGCGCCACGCAGACTGGTTTAGAATGCATGGATGGAGGGCCAGTCGTTCACACATTGTGGCAGTCGCCTCAGCGCCACCCACATTCATATGTTAACACGTACAACACTTTCTGCGATCAACACATAAAACTTCCAACAATTGCACGGATGTAGGGCTGGTCGTTTTTTTTCGAAAAGCGGGTCTCGCCTGAGCACTGTGAACATGATGTCAACAAACTTGCGACAATTAAACGGATGGAGGGGGGGCTGGTCGTTTTCAAAATGCGGCTCTGGCCCAAGCGCCACGCACACTCGTATTCGAACTCATCATGTTACACAAATGGTGGGCCAGTCGTTTCCAAATTTTGGTGGAGGGCCAATGTTTTTCAAACTGTGTCTCGCGCCTGAGCGCCGCGCGGGTGTGTCCGTTTTCAACATGTTATTCCCGACCGAGCGCCGCGCATATTCGTTTCGAAGGCTCTAACAATTACACGGATGGAGGGCCCGTCGTTTTCAAAATGCGGCTCTCGCCTGAGCGCCGCGCAGATTCCGCGCCGCGCCGCGCCGTGTAATTGTCGGAGCCTATCAATTGATAGGTTCCGACAGCTACACAGATGGAGGGCAACCTGTTTTCGCAAGGTGACAGCCGCCTTAGCGCTGCACACGTACGTTCGGTAATATTTTTCTCCCGGCGATTCGTATGTATCCTGCTCGCTCCTGCAACACGTTCGTGATAGCGTTGCTACTCAACATAAAAGGATAGCAACTTCGATTCGCACTTTCCCCAGCGATCGTGAAATTCAGCCTCGCCGCCCCTGTCCCCCGACCAACTCTGTCTTGGCCTGGGATAGCAAACTCTCAGGGGTCAAGGTGGGGATGCTCTATAATCCGGGGCACGGGATGACGAGGACAGAAGGCCGCTCGTTTTCAATATGCGGCAGTCGCCTTACCGCCGCAAACAATCGTCTTAGAATTGTCCAAAAGCTTCACGGATGGAGGGTCGGTCGTTATCAATTTGTAGCTCTCGGCACACACTCGTTCCATAAGCTTCCAACTCTTACACGGATGGACGTTTGGTCGTTTTCAACATGTGCTTCCGGGCTGGCGACCGCATACATTCATCTGAATACTTCCAACACGTACATGGATGGACGCCAGCTCGTTTTCGAAATCAGGCTCTCACCTGAGACCTGTTCGGGCGAAAATCCACATGTGTAACATTGTGGAACAATTTCCAGGATGGAGGCTGGTTTGTTTTCAAAATGGCGCTCTCGCTCGAAACGTCCAACATGGAGCAACATGTGTGCAATCGTGCAACGGTTACAACGATTGAGGGGGAGGGGACCTGGAACGGGAGGCGAGGGTATACTGCAACATTGCTGGTACATCTTCGACTTCATATGATCCTCATCCTTCTCCTCGCTCTTCCTCCCTCTTCCTCCTCCTGCTACTTCCTCCCCCTTGGCCCTTCGTCCCCCGTCCTTCTACTCCTCATCCTACAGCGGCACAGACGGCCACACAAGGCGCACGAGGGACGCACGACACCGGAACACTGCTGCAGACCATCTCGCACCAGCCGTACTGGGGCGTCACGGTGACGTCCGCCTGCGCGGCGCTTCAGACGGCTGGAGGAGGGTGGAAAGAGGAGGGATGAGGAGGAGGAGGAGGAGGAGGAGGAGGAGGAGGAGGAGGAGGAGGAGGAGGAGAGACGAGGAGGAGAAGGAGGAGGAAGAGGAGGAGGAGGAGGAGGAAGAGGAAGAGGAGGAGGAGGAGAGGAGGAGGAGGAGGAGGAGGAGGAGGAGGAGGAGGAGGAGGAGTGAGGCTGCGTCAGGAGATCCCAGTGCTCGCGCCTATCAGCAGGAGAAGAAGCAGAAGAGGGAGAGAGGGAGGGATGAGGAGAAGAGGGGGAAGCAGAAAGGGTCTGTCTGCGTGCTTCTCTTTTTTTTTTTGTTTTCTCTCTCTGTCTCTCTGACACTCTTTCTTGTATGGTAGTTTCTTTTATGCTATTTGCCTCCCTCTCTCGCATGTTCTCTTGTCCTGCATTATCTACCTGTCTCGCTCTCTCTCTCTCTCTCTCTGTATCACTCATTATTTGCTTGTGCTCCGCCCTTCCTGCTTGCTCTCTGTCTCTCTCTCTCTTTCGCCTCGCACTCTCCGCCGTCCTCCCCCTTTCGCATCCCTTCTCCCCCTCCCGCCCTTGCTCCGGCTTCGATCCTCCTCTGGTGTCCCTCTCCTTCTCCCCTCCCGTCCTCTCCTCAGCGCCCCCCCTCTCGCTCCTCACTCCCCATCTCCCCATCGCCCCTCGCCCACTCCCAGCCTGTTCGGTGATGAACCCTCGCCCCGAACTGCACGATCCTCCTGCGACCCGCTACCTTTCCCCTCGTCGTGAAACGATCACGGCGGCATGTTCTTTGCCGTTTTCGGCCTCTGAAGGCCCTTGCTGGGCCCCAAGACCGTCAAAACATGACTAGGATGAAAAGACAGTCCCGGGAAGGAGTCGAGACCTCTGGCGGGTCCACGTTGCGAATAAAACGCGACGCCGGATCGATAGCATACTGTCGGTGGCGAGGGAGGGGAGGCAGTGAGAGGAGAAAGGCCCTCTCAGAAGGCGGCTGGACTTCTCAGAGGCCCTCTGGCCTTCTGAAAAGTGTCCTGCGTCTTCGGGGAAGGGACTTCCGAGCCTTCTGAGAAGGCCGTCGTCTCTTCGCTTCCCCCCCGGCCTCGCCGCCGACGCTCGCGTTCGCAGGCGCGTCGTGGCAAAGGATCCCAGGGGCACGCGCGCTGACAGCCTGGCCTGCCGGCAGGGTGCCCAGCGAGAGTGTTTCAGATCCCGATGGGGCCGCTGTGCCCCTCGGGCGCCTTCCGAAGCCCAGGGCCGACGAAGGATGTGGCCCCAGAGCTGTCATACGGTCGAAACGCTGTCAGAAGAAGCCTAAAATAAGGAACGAGGCCCCTCTTTTCCGCCAGTTTGGCGTCGATCTCCCACAGAAGAGCTGAGGAATGCCTGCGACAAACTGCACAACAAGGAACACTGAGCCCCTCCCCAACGAAAACGGTTCCTTCTTCAGCGGCCCGACTGCAGCACACAGAAACTCTTCTTATCGTTGGGCACGCGGGATGGCAAAGCCGCAAACGGGCAATCGGTCGAACCATCTGCACAACCGTCAGGCCGCCGGAGACCTTCCCTGCGCATGCGCGAGGAGGAGGACGAGGAGGAGGACGATGAGGAGGAGGAGGAGGAGGAGGAGGAGGAGGAGGAGGAGGAGGAGGAGGAGGAGGAGGAGGAGGAGGAGGAG